GCCCATTCCCGCGGGGACTCGCACTGGCTGCTGGGCGGCGCTCTGCGAAAGTTGGCCTCTGACGGGCGGGAGGGCGGGCGACCGGCCGCAGCCATGGAGCCCCGCAGCATGGAGTATTTCAGCGCCCAGGTGCTGCAGAAGGACGTCGGCGGCCGGCTGCAGGTCGGCCAGGAGCTCCTGCTCTACCTCGGCAACCCCGGCGCCATCCCGGACCTGGAGGAAGACCAGAGCCGCCTAGGCAAGACTGTGGACGCACTCACCGGCTGGGTGGGCTCGAGCAACTACCGGGTAAGCTGCGGCGGCGGGGCGGGGCACGCCCTCCGGCCAGCCCTTTAATCCCGGACGTGAGCGTCCGGCGGGCACAGCCCCGGAGATAGCCCCGGAGCCGCAGAAGCGCCGGTTCTGGATGGGGCAAACCCTGGGGTCCCGTGGCGCGCCCGGCTGGCGAGCTTGCGGTTCGCGCGCGAGCCGAAGACTTACTTTCCACCGCGACCAAGTTTTTCCACATTTGTGAAACGATGATAAATCAACGATTCCGTGACACGTTGTGGAGTTATTTGGCACAAGGACTCACTATCATTTAAAACATCATTTGATAACTTTACATTTAGTGAAGGGGTCTAAGTTGGTGCACACCTGTGTAAACACTCTCCGGACTAAGGTATACGGACATTAGGATACGATTTTTTAAATTGAAATGACATGTCAAGTTAATCCCGTTTTAATGGTCTTTTATCCTACTTAATCTTTTTGTTTTCTTATTCATAGTTTTCGTTTGCCTGGAAGGTCTCGAAAGAGACGCCCGATTGCGTAAGCAGGCGCCCAGTTGCGTTTACCATTACATCTAATGAAAAGATGCTGATTCCATGACATTATTTATTTGCTTTTCCTTTATTGACTATGGAAAGCAGCTCAACGCCTTTTATTGTTATTTTTTTACTGCACTTAAAGACTGACGCAGAATTTGAAGCCATGTACTACTAGGTTTATTTGATGGTGAAAAAAAAAAAGGACGTGGTACAAGAATGATTTAGTAGTAGGCAGGTTGTAATGTAGCCACCTAGGGAGACCGGGCAAATATTCAGTAATTAGCTTGTTCGTAGTTGTTAGCAGTTACTTTTCTTTCTAGTCTTCTGGTGGCAGTGTTGCTTTAGAATGCTGGCCAGAACTTCCTGTGGATGATTTATCTTAGAAATATAATATATCCTTGCATCCAGTGAATAGGCTGTGCTTTGAAGGCTTTTATCTGCACAGTGAACAAACTCTAGAAATAAGCAGATTTAAAAATGCAACCTATATGAGTTTTGGAAAGGTTAGACTTTTTGCAAAGGTAATAAACAGTTTGAGAATTCACCCCCTTGATGCTCCATGACATCTTAACTCTTATTTTTTTAAACATTTTTGAGAAAACTGATGTTTACAATTGTAATATAGTAATATATATGTATTATTATGCAGTAATTAATATAGTAGTGTAATATTGAGGATCATTTTTTTCCTTGAAGAAAACAAGGTGAACTTACTTTGTAAGAAAGGCCTATACACACATAACAATTGATTTTATGTTGCAGCATAGACTGTTGTAGAGTGCTCTCTTTGGTAATGTTTGCTCCCCTTTCCAAATGAAAGTTTGTGTGCCACCTTCTTCAGTACTGATGGTAGTGAATTGGCCTTGGGCTCTTTCACTTCTCAGTTATGCCATCAGTAAATGATAGTGGAGCTGTCCATCTTGTGGAACACACCTGACTTCTGTGATACTATGGGATCCCAATTTTCCTGTCATCCTTCTGAGCTCTGCTTCCACTCAGTGCTGTTTTTCTTTTAACACATTGAGTTAGAATCCTTCAGGGCTCTCATCTATTTTAGTGCTCATTATTTCCAGTCTCCTCACTAGATACTGTGGCCTGAGATAATTTCAGCAGTCACAAGAGAACTGCCACAGGTTCGCTGCACCTTGTCTACGCTCTTCCTGGTAGCTCTGCCTATGTAGTCTACCTTTTTTCTATTACACTGAATGGGTAACCTATCTGCCTCACTTAGGCCAGTCCCTCTGCAGCAGTATTAGATCCTTTACCCTCTTGCCTACTCAGTGACATCGATCTGTCAATTCTTTCTGCGTTTTCAATCACCAGTTCTCTCCTTTCTACTAAATTTGGTAGTATAAAAGCTTACCTGAGGTTGTTAATGAGAGGAAATTCTAATCTATTTGGGTTTTATAAACTGAATGGCCAAATTCCGTTTTTGTTTTTTTTTTACTCAAGATACAGTAAAAACAATTCTTTACAAAGTGTATTTTTGAGCCTACAAATGCAACTGTACTTAAATGTAAAATTCTGAACAAAATGTGTTTTTTCTTTTACTTTGATAATGCTTTAGAATTACCCCCCACTTTTTTCCTGGGAGTGCTGGGGAGTGAACCCGGGGAGCACTGAGTGCATCCTCAGCCCATTTTTAAATTTCATTTCTAAGCAGTGTCTCTCTCATTGCCCAGGCTGGCCTCAAACTTGCGCTCCTCCAGCCTCAGTCTCCTGAGTAGCTAGGATCACAGGCATATACCACCTTGCCTGGGTTAGTGGCTCATTAGCAGTCATTGCTTTGGTACACTTGAGGGCTATCTATATGCTAGTATTTATTGTCTTTGATGCTGAAGATTTCAGTTGTGAACAAGCAGGGGTTTTTCATTCCACCCCCTTTAGATATTTGTTGATGACCTACCATGTGCAGGCACTTACCTGTTCTTGCACTGCACATAAAATAGTGAAAAAAGAAAGGCAGACATCTTTGCCTTTGTGGCCTTAGATTCTAGTGAGGAGAGGGAAATAAATGGGGTAAGTAAATAACATGTTATGGTACATGGTGTTAAATTGTTTGGAGAAAAAACAGTGAAGGGAATACGAAGTGTTAGGCAGGATTTGGATGTTGGAGTTGAAACAGTTGGACATTGAAGACCCCACTGACAAGGTGGTTTACCGGGGTTGGGAGGGTGAGATCCCTGTTGTGTTAAAATAAGGCAGACAGGAACTGGGGATTATAGTTTAGTTGGTAGAGTGCTTATCTAGCATGGGTGAGGCTGCAGTTTCAATCTCCAGCACCCACTCCCCTTCAAAAATTGAAAAAGAGGCAGATAGATGGGTATACAAATTAGATCATATCAGATCAGTGTGGTATGAAAAAATTAAGATGGGACTGTTTGATTAATCAAAGTAAGGAGATATTTGACAGATGAACATAGAAGTAAAGATTTCTTCAGAGAGAGGAAGCAGATACCCTAGTTTGAAGGTTAGAATTTACACAAGAGCGGTATTCAGCAAAGTGAAGTTGGGGAGGCAAGTTTAAACAGCCTTATAGGATTTATTCTAAATGCGGTAGAATATTGCCATATGGTTGAAGTGGGTGTAGTCCTTATGGAGAGTGGACTGTAAAGAAACAATAAAAGAAGCAGTGTGGTGATAGTAGCAAGGGCTGGTTTGGTAGCAGTGGTAGTGCCAAAGTAGAAACTTTGGGAGGTTATTTGTGGTAGATCCATTAGGACCTCATGTTGGGTTGAGAGAAACAGGAATTAAGGATAATTACCTTGCATGAGCAATAGGATAGATGATGCAGTATATTAAAATTGCAAAGACCAAGAGCAGAATAAGTTGGGTGAAGAAATGAAAAGTTTGATTTTGACTATATTGGGTTTAAAGTTGTTTAAAATCAAAGATGAGGTTTTGAATTTGGTGGAGAAGTCATAATTGGAGAGAATAGACATATATGTATTATATTTGCTCTAGCATTTGACTTTTGCTAAGGACAGTCTTGCGATTTCAGGAGTCTGAAAAATTCTATGTAGTGTTATTAGTAATAATAAAATTGCCCTCATTAAATGCTATTAAATAAGATAACCACCACTTAATCACTCAGATGGCTTTCGGAAGTCACCATTATTATTTTTTTACATTAGGTAAGATTTTACATTTGGTAAAAGACTATGAATATTTGAGCCTCATGAGTTTAGGACACCTAAACTCCTTTTATAAACTTTTTCACTGTTACTTGTCATTCCCCTTTGTACGTGGAGGATTAGTAACATTTACATTCTGTCTGCAGCCATAACACTAAATTGACTCTAAACATGGAGAAAACAGTAAGTAGCATTACTATTACAACTGTGTAGTGCTAGGCTAAGTAATATCCCAAGTTTTTATGTCTTCTCTTGGAATCCAAAAATCACAGCCCCTTTTGCATTCTTATGGCTTGTACATCAGCATCACTTCAATTATATTTCGTTTAAATTATCACTTTCGTGGGCCAGGGATTTAGCTTAGTGCTTCTGCTGCTTGCCTTGCAAGTGCAAGGTCCTGAGTTCGATCCCAGGAAGAAACAAAACAAACAAAAAATCACTTTCTTAAATACTGTATGCTATTTTTTTTTGTTAGCCAAAAAAAAAAAAAAAAAAGGTGAGGTTTACCTACTTATTAATGCATATGAGTCTTGCCTGTTCCTTTTACTTGGTTTATAGAATGAACATTTAAAAGTTTTTTTTAATTAGCATTGACCCTTTATAGCATTGCATTGTACATAAACATGAAGATTCTCTAGATTAGTGATTCTCAATCCTGGCAGGTTCAGTGTCCTCTTTTAATGTCTCCTTTACAGTCCTGAAATAAAATACCCAATATACATAATTTTTAAAAATTCACGTAATTTCCTAACTTTGCTATACAGGAAAACTATACATAATTTACAATAAGGTAAAATATATAATCTTTCCTTAGTATCAATAGGGAATTGATTTCAAAACTTGGCCTCTCTTGGATACTAAAATCTACACATGCTCAAGTCGTTTTTATAAAATATAGTATCTGTATATAACTTATACTCCCATTGTATGGAATAAATCGTTTCTAGAATACTTAGTGTACCTAACACAATGTAAGTATCATGTAGATAGTTGTGCTGGATTGCTTATGTGCACTGATAGTGAGCCTTTTCGAGAGAAGTGCCCAAACTACAACCCAAAACCCTCTTGTTTACTGCAAAGTGCCAACACTGCAATTAAACCTGAAGACTGAGGTTTTAGTTTAGAAAAAACAACTCATACATTAACATCTTTTGTCTCATTGTCTATAGTACCATAGGTTCACTGCCACTGGCTTAGGGCGGGCATAATGATAAGGAAAAAATTCTGTACTTACTCAGGGTCTTGCTTTGTAGTGCAGGCTGGCCTTGAACTCACAGCTATCCTCCTGAGTTAGCCTCTTGAGTCCTAGGTGTACAGGCATTGTGCCACCACACCTTGCTGGACT